GTGAATAATTTAATAGGGAGACCTTCAACTTGGTTTCAAGTGTAAGGATTTATTGATGGATAAAACACAAAGTGCGAGGAGGAGCTGGCACAGGAACTTTTGATCAGGTGTCTGAGATTCGTAATACAGAGATTATTAGAGATGGAAGAAGAGTTGGAGAGGAAGCCAAGCATAAATAAAAGCACAGATGCAGGATGTGGTGATTTGGTTGGCAAGCGATGGGCCTGTCTGGAGCCGGAATCTGTGATAGAGTCAGCATGCAGAGGAGAAAAAAGAGAACAGGATTTTAGGAAAGCTGACATAACCTCGGAGGGGGGGGGCAGAAAGAGAGAGACTGTCTTTTAAATGACCCTTGATATTGTTTATGACCTGGCAGCTGCCCCTTGGCTTCATTCTCAAGTTTTCTATATATCTTCTGAAGCATGAAACTTTCTCTGGTCTCACATGCTGGCTTGTATTTGATCTATGCTAGCTAGCACTGCCAGGCAGCGGCTAATTATCTGCCAGGTATGCCTTCTCAGGTTCAAAAGAGTCTGTGCATAAAAATCACTGCATTTCCCATTTATGGAGATACCATCTAGTCAGAGACTTCCTCTGAAGCAATCAACAAGTCTGTACTGAGCTCCTTGATGTTCAGGGCTTAGGTCTATTCACTGTTCCTAAAAATTACATGTTTCATGAAAAGCACTCACGATGATTCAGAAATTTCTTTTTCTTTGATATAAAATAACAAAGTGAAAATTTTAGGGCTTGCTAAAATGATAGAACTTGGGACTTTTAAGACAGTGAGTGTGGGTGTTAAGTGGGTTTTCATGGGTAGTTGATTCATCAAATTTATCTTGTCATTTTTTGGGCTATTATATTTGTCCTTAAGAAGTAGAAGATTTTGAACGGGGAAACACTTCCTTTGCTTTTCAGAATTGCAGTTTTCTCACAATAGACATAATGAAGAATAAAAAAGAACTAATAATGATGGAAATAAGTCAAGGTAAGATTAATCTGTAATGCCAAGGCAGTGTAATGTATTTGTCCTCATGGTGTGTGGGTGGGGGACATGCAGCCCAAGTAGCGTGCGTAACATTTTCATATTCAAATGCAGCTATACAAAATTCCTCTGTAGCAAGTAGCTCACTCTACCCTCCCCCCATCCTCAGTCACTGGCCCATATTAGTTTCTGCTCTGAATAAGAAAGAGCAAACCTTTTTCCTAGATTTACATCTCAGCTCTGCCACTCATTAGCATACCAAAGAAATGTTATGAATATCATGTGAATAAATATGCACAGAAATTGCACAGTGTAAGTACTATGTATCATTAGCAAATAGCAGCAATCATTAAAATAAAAATAATTAAGTAAAGTAAACTTATTACTCAGCCCTATAATTTAAGTACTAACATCATTGTAAGGATGATGCTTGTGTCTTCTGAGACGAAAGTTATAATTTGTTAGGTATTGAGCGTATCTTGAATCTCATGTAACCCTCACAATGGAGCCACCTGTGAGTTGATGTCATTACTGTTACTTTGATTTTACAGTTGGGGTTCAAGTGTCATACAAGTGGGCAGTAGTAAGACAGGATTTGAAACTATGCAATGTGGTTTCAGAATCTCTACCTTTAGTCACTGTTGCTTGCTTTGCATAATTGGTTTTGATGGTGCAGACAGTTCCTAAAGCTTTAGTAGGCATCTGGCAAGCTTTCTGTCTCCTCTACATAGCCTGTGGACTCAGGACAATTAGTTCTTTCATACATTTTTTTTTTTTCAGTACTGGGAATCGAGCTCAGGACTTGCCAGGCAGGCGCTTGTGCCACTGAGCTATATCCCCCGTGCTCACATATTTCCACTGAGTGCAGGAATTGTGGTTGTTTTTTGGTGGAATTCGTGTTCCAAAAATGCCTCAAATTTCACCTTTACCTGAAGATTCAAAATAAATATGTATTGTACTCCCACAATATTCTACACTTTCACATAGCAAACTATGTGACTCCCATTTTATAGATGAACACCCAAGGCTCAGAAAAACTAAATAACCTTCTCAAACATTTGAAATTAGAATTCTTGAGAAATCTCATCATTTTTTATCTGATGTTCTTCCCATTTGTGGCCTCACTGAACTGTAAGTCAAAAATTTTTTTCTTATTGGGTGTCCTTTGTGGTATCTGGACTTACTTCATGGTACCACTTAGTTATACAGATGAGCTTTGAATCAATAATTCCCAGGGCAGGTTTAGAAAGGAAAAGACCATAGTCGGCTTCTGTTTTGCAGTGTGTCTTTGACTGAGCGTGACATAGTTTACTACAAGAGCTCTGACTACATGGCTGGGACATTCGTGTGCATGCTGTGAATGACCTTTGAGTTCACGCTCTTGGAAATGTTTCTGTGTCCTTGCAGAGTGATGAAAACGGACAGCTGCCTGCAGCGGGTATGGTGGAGAGGTAGGTAATATGCACCCTTCCCCAACCTCTGGAGGAGCCTCCTACAGCAGGACCGAAAGACCCCTTCCGTCTTCCCCTCTTCTGATGGCTCTCAGTGATGTTTGCACATTCTTCTCCTGCCTGGTAATTAGCACCAGCTGCCTCAACTTAAAAGGAAGGAATCCCTTTGAAATCCTCCCTATCCTCCATGAAATGCGCTACTGAAACATGCTAATTAGTCACTGGACTTAGGACGATACAGCCATGTGTTTCCTGTGAATCCTGCTGAAGGAAGAAGAGGAGGAGGAATACAAACATCTGTTTAGTTGCATATGTGCGTGTTTGCTTTTCAAATTTTTAAAATGATGTTTTTAATGAAAAATTACCTGTCCAAGTATGATCAGTAGCTCAGGATACGCCCCTCCCTCGGTGAACTGAATTTCAGCCTTTATTTGTACTCTCTGTGTAAGCTTGCCTGTGTGCCCTTCTCAGAAGGACGGGTCAGCATCCCCTCATCCATCACTACAGTATCAGGAATTGTAGGGCTCTGGGGAAATAAAAAATAACTCTCCTGCCTGTGGGAACCCCTGTTCCAGAGCAAGCTGATGCCCAAGTGGGTCTGTAATAATTAGTGCATCCTGGAATTTGAAGAGACAGAGCAGAAGCATAATGCAGCATTATGTTGAATGTACTCAGCTAAAAATGGAGATGCCACTGATTTCCCAGTGTAAGTTGTGATTATGTGAAAATCTGTGTTTTCATAAATAATTTTGAGCAGCAGTTTCCCGGGTTTCAAACTCACTGACAGTCATTGCCTGGGGGCAAGAACTGCTCATGACATGGAAAGGGAGCTGGTTGATTTATGGAAGCACTTCATTTATTGACAGGGTGAAAGAAGCTCATGGAAAGCTAGCGTTCATGCTTAGGGAAAGGGCGGGCAGCCTCTTGCACCTCTCAGGTCATTCTCCTGGGGCTGTCTGGCCAATGTCGACTTGCGCATTCCTGCCGCTGTCTCAGCAGTGCTTCTGGAATGCCAGAGGCTGCTGCTAAAGCAACTGCAACCCAGTTGTTCTTATATTCTTGCCTCACTGGCTCACAGCTTAAAGTCTTGCCGTGCCAGTGATAGGTTCCCATCCCTGTTCTCTGTCTATAGGTGGGATGGCGCACACACAGCAGTGAAAACATCTGTTCTGTTGGTGGGAAACGTGGTTGGAGTTTGTTGTTTTTGGTGTTGTTTTCCCCAAAGTCATACACAGTAGTGGGAGGATAATTACTTGGGAAGAAAGTAGGTTATTTTTTAGCAAGATAACTTGATAAATATCTACTGCACAGACCTACAGAAAGAGCGTTCTGCTTTTCCAGTTTCTGTCAGTTATGGGAAAGGCAACCTTATGTGGCCAATACCGTGAGAGACCTACTCTGCAGATCTGAACGTTTGCCCCACCTGGCCTTGCTCTGGGAAGTCAGGCAATAACCTGAGAGTCTTCTGCTGCACTTTAAAGGGTTAAGAGGTTTGGAGGTGCAGAGAGCCTCATTCCGAGGATGCTGGATCTCTTTTTTTTTTTTTTCCTCCGGTACCGGGAACCGAACTCACGACCTTGCGCTTGCCAGGCAGGCGCTTTGCCGTTGAGTTAAATCCCCAGCCCCGATGCTCGATCTCTTGTACATCAGTTCTTCCTTAGCTCTCTGGTTACTTACCCAGCCCTGACCCATTCTCTTGTCCTGTCCTTGATGCTATAGGCTTTGAAGCTCTAGCCTTGCTCCCTAACTTCTCCTGATCTGTGACTTCAGGCTTTCCCCAGATGAGTATCCAGGTAAGAAATGCAAGAGTTGCTATCCCCCCGTGACCCCCATCCCAGGCTGGGTGAAATTTACTGTTGCAACTCTGCCATGCTTCACTATAAGAACTCCTGCAGTTGCAACAGATCCCTCCATTCTTTCTGTTTTCTGTTCTAGATAGAAGAAGAGAGAATAAGAGCAACTGGTTTTTCCTTTGGGAGCACAACAGCTTGATACACATGGTGTGAATACACTCCAGAGTGCTGGTTTACCGTCCAGCGAAAAACCCTGCATGGAAGCTTTACCAGTCTCCTGGTTACACTCCAGAGTGCTGGTTTACCATCCAGTGAAAAACCCTGCACGGACCCTTTACCAGTCTCCTTTATTCTGAAGCTTTACCAGTCTCCTGTCAGGTTCCCATATGAGCAGTGTTTTTATTTTCATGCCTCACACACAACACATCCAGCTCTAGTATTTGCCAGGCTCAAAACTTGAGCATAAACAGAGGTCATTGGCCGTATTTCTAAATTCTTAACATTTATACGTTAGTCTAATGCATTGCTACATGAACTATGTCCTATCCCCTTGCTTGGATTTAAGAAACCTCTAAAACTACTTAGAAAGCTAAGAGCCCTGGAGCTGAGGTCCTCTTGCAGGTTGAAGGGTGATACTGGGACATATTTTCTTCTCTTCCCAGGTTGCCCGTCTTCCTACATAACCTAATTGACTCATTCATCCCTCAAGTACTTGTATATTTTTTGCATTGTATGTTCCATTCTTCTTCTAGAAATCTTCTTAAGTTTTCCAGGATGAATTGTATATTTCTCCCAACCTGGCGGTAACATTGTGCAACTATAAATGCTTTACTGCTGCACCTCAGTTTATCTTTCAGCGCTATTTCAAAGTTGGAAGAGTTAATAGGTGTAGAATTTTAGAGTAGTGACAGATATAAGAGAAATTGTTAACTGTTATAACTTATTATGTACAGGCATAGCACCCTATACATATTTCTGTAGAAATAGTTCACAGTGGTTTGTTATGTATTTTCTTACAACTCTCTTCCACTACACAATATGTTTCTTGAAGGCAAGAACTTAATTTTATTTGACTTTGCATTTTTCACACAAAACCCACAATATTTTGCATAGCAGGTGCTTAATAAATGTATTTGGAGTTGATGAACTGCCTGTTGAAGAATTAGAATTTACCACTGGAAATGTTTGTGCTGAAACCTATGACCACTCAGAAGGAAAATCTCTGGGAGACTGAACTCAACTTTTCAGGGCTTTCTGACCTAATGCTTTCCAAAGATCAAATGGTAGAGCCAAACCAGAACCAGGTCAAAAGACGACATAGGGAAGAAATATTATTCAAGTGACATTCCTACCCAGGGACGAGGTATGCTTGCACAAGACACTAATTCTGGGCTCTGACAAAGATTTCCGATCCAAAATATTCTATTATGTAATGCTTTATCTGTCTTCATATGAGGCAGGGGATTTGTCAAACATTTCGTAAGGGCTTTGAGACTGCACATTTCTCGGTGGCCAAGATCTGGAGCCGTATGTGCCTCTGTTTTCCTTAATTGGAACTGTTTATTCTGATGACTTGTAGATAAGCAGAGCTCAGGAAATATGGTCAAGAGAGACTTTAACGATGTTTGCTTGATTAAGATGATGAAACTGCTCTGCAGAGTTTTCCCCCATCATTTACTCAAGTGGTTACTAAGTAATTTCCAATCCAGTGTCACAATTAGAATGAATAGGTCTAGCTGCTGGTTGGCCAGGAAGCTTTTCTGTTTATCATCCATCCATCCATCCATCCATTACAGTTTGTCATGAACGATGATTGGATACAGCAAAATGCTTTGCACAAGGCCTAAGAAATAAAAACGCAGGAAAATTTAAAATCTTCCCAATGAATTCACTTTTCCCCTCTTTAAACATTTTGTTCTTTCATTTAGCCATGCATATAAAAAAGTATAATTATTTAGTGCTTACAGCATTACAGAGAAGTTTTTCAAAATTAATTAAAATAAGAATAAAACATCTAAAGACAATATCAAATTTCCTTCTCTTCATATTATAATAAAACAATTAGTATAAAAAACACCTATACAATTAGTGCGTATAATATGCCAAGCGCTGAATGTCTTGTGTGTATTAACTCGTTTAATTCTCATAAAATCCTAAGAGATAGGGAAAATTACTGCCCTTATTTTACAAATGAGAAAAGGGAGACAGAAAGCATTACACATATGTTTATTTTATTCAACCTTTGAGCTATACACACAGACTTAAAGATTTAGACTAACGTTATATAATAGATGCAATGTAAGTCTTCAAACCCAGTTCACCTGTTTCAGGCTCTAGTCATCTTACAACGCTGCTGTGTGAATTAAAAAAAGAGTTTATAGTCATGTTTCAACTAGACTCTGTGCATCTGCCCTGCGCATCTGATCCTGAGAATACATCCAAGGGTATCAATGTCAATACAAACTTTGTAGCACCTAGTTTTTGTTACATGTATATTTTAAAATTTTTCATGCCTAAGTAGCTCAATCTTGCTACAATAAAATTATGCATGCATGCCCTGTGAGGATGTCTGTGACATGGAGTAGAGAGTTTTCTCTAATGGCATCAAACTTCAATATTATTTAACGTATGATATACTGCCCCTTTCAGGGGAGTGCCCTAGGAAAATGAAGATTTTTCTGAATGAAATGCAATCGATTGCAGCCAAATGAAGTGCAAGGTGAGGTGCACTCTATGTCCCTGGAGTCTGTGTCACACTGACATAGGGGTCTTGTTCCCATGGCAACAGATGAAGGCATTAACTGTTGCAGGACTGATGTGAGGACAAGATATATATTCGCCCGATGTTATTCTTGTCCTTGGATTTCCCACTTCTTCTTGCCTCTTGTTTTATTAAGTTAATGATAACCATCTACGATAGCAGGAAAAAAGTGTAATATCAAGTGAAACTCTTCATAATCTGATAAAAGGGAAAGTGTTTCTTACATTGGCTTAGTTGACCTTTCCAAAGGGTGCCTTGTAAGGGTTTGAAAAGGCTTTTTTTTTTTTCTATTGTGCGGTTTGGTTATCCTCGGTTCTGGCTTGAATCTTGATGGTTAAAGAAAGGAAAGGAAAAGAAAAGAAAAAATGAAAAATTGTTTCTTCTTTCTCTATCATTTGTAGCTGTTGTTTATATGGCGGCGGCGGTGGGGAATACACACATCGCAGGGAAAGGAAAGGAAAATGAGAGAAAACGAGGGGCTGCTTCTGCTGTGACGACTGTAATGGGATGGCTCTGAAAGTGAGCCACGATTTTTCTGTTTCTCAAGTTTCATGAAGTTGAGTTTGTTTCAGCTGCTGCTTTTCTTGAGGAATATAATAATTTAGTAATAATTTAGAAAGAAAATAACATTTCCAATGGAAAGTAAAGGAGATTTAGACATTATCTCTTAAGCTGTCTTACCTATTAAAGGAAATAATAACTATCAGACAATATTTATGTAGGATAAACTGTACCCCAAATGGTTCTAAATGTTTTCCCTATTTTATTCTTGTGTATTTTGACACGGATAGCGATTCTATAGTTGAAATAGACACATAAATAATTTCTCCCAAATTTCAAAACTATTAACTTGTAGGGGCAATTCTCAAACTCAGTCTGATAGCAAGCTGGCGTAGCTAACTGCTCTTCTATGCAGTTTCCTAAAAACTGTTTTTTTTTACTGTAATACTGAACTGTTTCTGAGTCACTGATTTTTATTCTCAGTTACTAGGTCTGATAGCATCATTCGGTCTTTGGACTTCATGTCATTCGGCTCTTTTTGTTTACTTACATGTATAGATGTGCATATATTAAATAAAATTGAAATGATTCTTAAGCCAAATTTCACAATCTCTTTGGTGGTACTTAATGAAAAACTTGGAAAATCATAAGAACAAGTTTAGGAATCACTTATGTAACATTTGTTCCTCTACATTGAATTTTAGTTGAAAAAGAATATAATTAGACACTGTTCTTTAGTAATTCTTTCAGTTTTCCCTCAAAATTTCCTTTAAACACTTCCTTAATGCCTCTATTGTAAACCTGAGTGTGCAGAACTGAGGTTTGTCTAAATATTTAGTGATGATGCTGTTTTTTTTAGTCACTCAGGTACATTCTGACACAATACTGTTAGAAAACTAGCATTAACATTCTGGGGTTGCATTTGGTTTAGAATTCTCCAAATTGGAGTTCATATTCATTTTGTGTTCATCTTTTGCTTAATTCCTGGTGGGTAAGACCGTATAAACCAATTTGACATGATTTAATTCCAGCCATAATCAAATCTTCATCAAAGAAAGAGTTTTACCATTATAGTCATGATATATTATCATATATAATCATAATAATGTCATGAACGAATATTTATTAGGCCTCTATTTGAAGACATTTAATTTAATTACTGTACTATCACACTTTACAGATTTAGGGGGATGATACTTAAAGTGAAATACTTGAATCAGTCTTTTAAATTGCATACATATACAAGTACTGAATAAATCTATCCTGAGCAGTTTTGATTTCAGAGACCATGAATAGTTTAACATTTGGTTAAGGTTGATGTTGCTAAAAACTACGGGTCTGGCACTCAGATATTGAATGATTGACGGTGTTTCTCTGCCCTCTAGTGGTCTGATGGAGAACTGAAAAGACTGACACCAGGACCTTCAAGGACAACTGGCTGAGAGTCCTGAGGTCGGGACACCAGGGCCTCCAGCCGTTCGCCTTGAATCATCGACATCAGTTGTGAGAAGACAGTTAACGCCAGGCCTCTGGAGTCACGGGTTTTAACCTCTGTGCTGATTTGACAGGCCTGACAAAGTGACGAGGGACTGGTGGTGGTGTTTTATTTAAAAAAAGTTTCCTCTTCAAATTTCTTAATTTTCCTTGAGTATAGGAGTTTGCGGTGGTTGAAACAAGTATTCCCTTTCAGGTTTTCTCATCAGTGTCATTACTGATGTCTTGGGCTGGGTCATCCTTGGCTGTGGATTTGCAGTTCTGCGCATCACACAATGTTCAGCAGCTTCTCTGGCTTTGTATCTACTGATGTCAACAGCAACACACAGCTCACCTCTACTCATGCTAAAAAAAATTTCTCTACGATCCGACATCTCCTTTGGAGGGAAAAAATTCTCATTGAGAACCATCTGGTCCTAATGGTTCCTATTAGGTTAGAAATGGTTTGATTAAAGACAAATATTTTATTGAATACTTCACACCTGTCAGGTCTTTGAATTCTTTTATTCAATCTTCATAAAAATCCTCAGAAGGAAATCCTATATTATCATAATGTCCACCTTATGGATAAGGAAACTAATAGGATGTGAGTACCTTTATTAACTTCATGTAGCCAAGTTGTAGAGCTAGCATCAAAAGCTGACCCTGAAATGTACCTTGGAAAACAATCTACTGTAAGACTGTCACCCTTATAACTTCCCCCAGGAGTGAAAAGCAGAATAATTGATTTATAAATGATAACAATCCACGGATGCATGCTTATGCAATTTTTTGAACTGACAATAAAACAGAAGAGAATAATAGCATACTAATACTGTTAGAGGAAGATTAGTCTGTTTTTTTTTTTTTTTTTTTTTTTAAATTCATTGCCTGCCTGCATGGATACAGTTCTGTATTTCTGTATGGATACATATCTGATACACAGATATCAGTTTCTACCTTTTGCAGCTTACATTGTTGCAAGAAATAAGCAAAAGAACAAAGTCACATGCAATGTTTCATCTGGAAACATGCTATGGAGAAAATGAAGCACATGAAGGGGTAAAGAGGAAATAAGGTATAGCGGAATGCTGTTCTTTTATAAAAGGTAGTCAGGAAGCCTCTTGATTAGTATGTGGTCAGACAATGAAGGGATGAGAACTCCAGTGAGTAAAGCAGAGATGAGATTCAGAATTGTTCCAGGCAGTGAGAACAGCGAGTGGAAAGTCCTGAGGTAAGGGCGTCTTTGCAGTGGAAGTAAGCTTGCTAGCAAGTTAAGGAAAAATCAAGGAGTCAGTGAACCTGGAGCAGAGTGAGAGGGGAGGAGAGGAGAGGAGATGGAGGTATAAGGTAAAGGAGCAGCTGGCACTGCAGATTCTGCGAGGCGGTGCAGCCCTTAAAAGGGCTGCATGGATACAGTTCTGTATTTCTGCTGGCTTTTACTCCGAGGGCGTCTGAAGTGCACTGGAAAGAAAAGTGCCATGTTCTCACTTAGTCTTTTACAGAATTATCACGATCTCTTTCCCTGTTTGGGGAAACAGTTTTTCATAATGGTCAGGAACTAAATTTTGGAGTTTAGACTGACCTAGTTTTAAGTGATATGTCTTCAATCTCACTGGCTAAGCACTTGAGACAAGGGACTTCACATATCTGAACCTGTGTTTTCTCACCTGAACAAAAGATGTGGCAAGAGGTAGACATTTTGCACAGGGGAAGAGGATTAAGACATGAAAGAGGGTGAGGAAAGAGAGGGAAAAGGAACATAAAGGAATTAAGATGTGCTATGCACATATCCAACTTCCCATGAAGACTGCAATCATTATGTCCTACCAAGAGGTTCTAATAAAATCTGAAAGGAAAAATATGTCCTTGTTAATTAAATTTAAGTGCAATCAGGCAAAAGATCCACTATTATTTTATGTACCAGCGAGGAAAAAGCAAAACACAACACTGGTAATCAGGCACCAATCAGACCACGCTTTCTCAATTTGAAAATGCCGTTCATCTGTTCCTAGAAATTTGGTAATTTGCCCTGCATTGTCCTACATCACTTGACATGCAGCAAGTAATTATTTTGGAAAACTGTCTGTGAAAAAAAAAAAAACACAACTTCATCTATTTATTAGTAATTTCATTTCTTAGGATCTCATAAAGCATTTGGCTGTTGCTTTGTGAGGAAAGATGGGATTACTTCCCTACGGTGGATATTGGGTTCAGTAAAACCAAATTTATACTTATCTCTTTGTTCAGCTTTTATGCTTATAAAACAACCTTTAATTTATATTTGAATACCGAGTCATAGAGTGAAAGATTTTAAAACAGTAATTAATGCAACATGTGCAGTGCCCATGTTGAGCATTAAGTCAGCTGAAGTGACTCTAGTTGAGCTGACACATTCATAGACAATGACAGAATTATCATGTCTGTCCTTTGGCCCATAGTGACTGGAAGGTGATATCAACTTTGGTGAACATGTGCTGCGTTGCGTTGCATGTATAGAATTGGTGCAATCTGCAACAGTACTTTCACTGTTGAATAGAATCAACATGGAAATTTCCTTTCCATGTTTCCAGCTTTCAAGAACAGTTATAGTTTTCATCTCTGTGAAGACTATTTTACCTGGACCTCTCTCTTCCTACAAGATCCTTCAATTAATTCCAGTCATTTGACTCTAGCTCCTGTCTTTCCAGTCTAATTCCTCAGGTGGCTTTCTTGCACTTTTTACTCCCCAAAGGAAACAAAATTACTAGTCTTTGACTCCCTAAACATTTCCCTTTCCCAAGTCATTAATCAATAGTTCATATTAAGAGAAAAACTGCCCCAAGTCTCTGGAGACTCCTTCATAGATTTTCTTCTTGTTTCTTATCCCCAAGTAGCTTTTAATCCAAGGTAGACATTTGTCTGGAAAATTTTTCCAGTACTGAGGATTGAACCCAGAGGCTTCACATTGAGGAACCTCTCCAGCTTTCTGTTTTTTACTTTGAGACAGAGTCTTGCTAAGTTGCTAAAGTGCTCAGCCTGGGCTAGAACTTGCAGTCTTTTAGCGTCAGCCTCCCAAAGTTTGGGGATTGCAGATGTGGGCCACCATGCCTTGCTGTAATTTTTTAAAAAAGTTTTCTGTGGTGACTTGAAAAGCTGAAGGAACATTATCATTGTGTCTTATCTCTTCCTTGTTTGTTAGTTGTGTCTGGGTGTCCCCTCAAAGCCTCATGCAATCATGGGGCAGGCTTCTAGATTTATGATTGATTCATGGTCCAATGTTGGGTTTGTGGGTGTTAGTGCTACACCTGCCCTGGGGTGGGTAGTTTGCATACAATATAAGGGAGAGAATGAGGTTTTTTGCCACCACTTCCTCCTTTGCTCTTGTTGCTTTTGCTGTTTTCCACCGTCAGGAGCAGTTGCCCTCTGCCATGTGCCACTCTGCCTTGGAGCCAACTGAGTATGGACTGAAACCTCTGTGAACTGTAAGCTAAATAAACCTGTCCTTCCTTAATTTTGGGTGTCAGGTATTTTGTCTCAGCAATGAGAGAAAAGTAACCAAGACAGTTGGAAATGTTAGTTGGTCAAACTTTCTCAGAGGCTGTATGTCACGGTTAACTGATAAGCTGACCCCCAGGCTCAGCATCCTAGTTCATTGTTACAGTCACAGCACCGTTCGAGATCATTTACAGAAAGCCTCAGGTAGCAGCCAACACTGCTGGTTATTACATACTTGCATGTGCCTTTACATCTTCCTGGAAGGATGTGCTTCTGGATCACATACCTAATCAAACCAAAACAAGAATGACAACAGATGGTGGGGAACCCAACAGATAAAAGGAAGGACTGGGAAGAAACGCCTCTTGGGAACCAGCTTGTTGTTTGCTGTCATTATTTGCAAACTGGAAACAACCAGGTTGCTCTGCTGCCCTGGAACCTCAGGACAGTAAAGTTACTATCAGTTTCCATCAGCCCTAGGTGATAACCAACATCTTAAATCTCAAGAGGAATTGCTGCTAGGCCTTGTAAAGCAGATCATCTGGCACAACAGGCTGTGCCAACGTTGGAAAGGGAAGGAGGGGGAATCCACCTGTGAAGAACGGCAGGCTGCCCCAAAGACCTTCACGCTACATGTGATTACCCCATTGACTTAATCTGGGCACAGTGCAATGAAGCTAAGCACTGGGTCTGTGGAAAATTATTGACTGTTCAGACAATTAAAGAGAATTAAAAATAGTAAAAAAACATTAGAAGCAACACAGAGCTTCACTAAATGAGATGATAGGAATTCACCAGTGGTTATTGTATTGCATAGTGTTGTCTTCAAATTAATTGTTCAGATTGCCAGATATAAGCATGCAAAATTGGTAAAAAAAATTTGAGAATTAGCTGTTCCTTTCTTTTTTTTTTTTTTGGTACTGGGAATTGAACTCATGACCTTGTGCTTGCCAGGCAGGCACTGTGCCACTGAGCTAAATCCCCAGCCCTAACTGTTCCTTTCAATAAATCAATACTGTTTTCTTCCTTTTAAAATAAAAAATTCTTGAGTGCACTCATCTATTTATTTATGTACTTGTTTATTTTGACATGGTTTCACTATGCAGTTCAGGCTGGCCTTGAACTGACCGTAATCCTCCTACTTCATGCTCCCAAGTGCTGGGATTATAGGCATGAGCCATTATAGGTGTGAACAGTCATGCCTGGCTCTGACTGCAATTTAAAATAAGCTGTCTAAACTATATCTTCTTGATCATTAAAAGTGTTCTAAGCAGTTTTATTCACTTATTACCAGCATATAGATTGGAATTTGTAGACAGGCTGGTGGCCATATATTTGCTCCAAATGTCCTTTAAGCTCCAGTTGATTTTTTCTGATGTTTGAAATAATTGTCACATTGACTGTCTGTCTGATCCTAGCTGAAATGGCTCAGTTGAAAGCATTTTTGTTGGTATGTTAATATTTCTTTTATTTTTCAAATTCATATGAAAATGAACTTCAAGGTATTTTTAACTGGTCATTCTCATTTGGAATGTTTAAAGTTTTCTGTTTTGTCTTAAAATTTTTTTGGAGGATTAAAACTCCCAAATATTTATAGGCTTTTAGCTCTGGCATATTTCAGATAAAGAAATGGTTGTGTGGAGAAAGAAATCATTCTTTGTGATTTGTGTCTGTGCAGTGATCTTACCCAGGAAGGACCTGTCCGTAGATGGGAAATGTATGGTCTAGACTGGAAGAGGAAGGTGGTGGATAGAAAGAAAAAGCAAGCAGAGCTCTGTGGATCTAAATTTTGTGGACAGCTGCCCACTCTGGGTCTTAGTGTTAGGAAAAAATTAATAAAGCTAAGGAGGCTAAATAGGTACTCATGGTTACACACAAGCAGATGATTGAAAGTCAAATAACTTTCCTTGCCAAGGGTTGGTTATAAGCAAAAACATCCTCCCTAGAAAGAGAGGAGGCAGATATTAAACATTCACATTGGTTTTAGGGAGACTCCTCTTACACTTTGTCAAATGAAATTAGAATTATGTTTGAAAGAGTCTTTAAAATGCTTTGAAAATAAATCACCTGGCTGATACTGCAACCTATGGCTACAGGAATATCTTTAATGCTCTTTCATTTGAGGAGAACATTCTGGAAAATATTCTATTGTGGAGTATTTGAGTATTCTGCGTATAGGACCTGAGGTTTGGCCTACTTAAAAGCCAATCTACCAAAAGTAATTCTGACCTCCTACCATTTGCTTGTTTTCCTAGTTGTTGAGAAAATAACAGTATTAATACCATTGTGGATTGCACCATTGCACTGACCTGCTCACCCAATTTCTGTTTCATGCGTACACTTTGCTGGGCTTTGAAGTTTATCCATTAAAAGAGTAGAGAGATGTTGAGTGGACACCTGGTCTTAGCTTACTCAGGACTTTCCTGATTTCAGCATGGGAAGTTTTGCATCCTGGAAAGTTAGCTGGTTTTCCTCAAAGAAAAACATTTTCAATACTCTTTTGCTTTGGGTTTCCTCAGGTGACATATTTGGCCAAGAGAATGAGGTAGAAGGTGCACTGTATCGGTTCTGAGCTTTACCACTAAAAGACTTCGCAGGTTTGTACCGTGTGTACTGCAGCTATAACCCTGAGAAGGACATGTTGCGATGATCCCGCCTGACCGAGGAGGGTGTGGGTGTGTGGAGCAGAGCTGAGCTCCAAAGTGCAGCTTGGGCAAGCTCAGCGCATCTCAGCCGACTCCCAGAAAAGCTACAGTTCCATGAGCAATAACAAAATCATTGTATTTTTTTACCACTGAATTTTGGCATGACCAGTGTGAGGTGGTGAGCTAAAACCTTTACATAGATCGCGGATACCACGAAGTAGCAATTATAGTTATTTTATGACTGATACATAGAAAGACAGATGCCCAAAGTAACAATTGGTCTGGTTTTATATCTGTTTCCAAGGAAATCTAATAACTTGAAAATTTTAAATTATTAAGTGACAGTAGTTCATTGTCACAGACTCAAGCGAATAGAAACTATGAATAGGAAAGAGTAAAATGCATTCCATTCCCTTCCTCTCATACTTTTCTTCTGTCATGTAGTCCAGATGATTTTCCATCCTTTTAATAAACATAGTTCTTTAAAATCTTTACCTAACTGAAAATACACATATTGTTCTGCAGGATTTCCTGCTCGGATATCTCCAGTTTCTTTCTATGCTGATCTGTATGGAGGTAGGTTATGGTTTTTCAACAGCTCCATAATATTACATAATACAGAAGTAGCTTAATTTGAGCATTTCAATAGAGTCTAATTTCCCCTACTCCAATCACCAATTCCATGAACTTTCTTTTGTGCACATATAAGTATCTCTAAAGAAAAAGGAAATCTTAGAACTTAATTAATTCACAGCTAATTACACTTCAGTATTTAGTAACTTTTCATTTAAATAAAATGTGACACTGAAAAAAATTATAGGCTAGTACTTATGCACCACACACAAGTGTTCACCAGAGACAGTTCTTCTTTCTGCATCTTCCCTCCCCTCTTGGAGGCATTTGTGTGGCATTCATGGTGGCCTATAAAGTGCATTAGCTGTACCTGTTTGTCCTAGATGAAGTGGGCTGTCTTGTTGTCAGCTGTTGCACTTGATCTCCACGTCACATAGCAGAGATGGCTCTTTAGACATTTGCGCATCATCCTGAAAGATCCCATCAACTGCAGGTGTTTGCTATTTAAGCAACAAGTCAGCAGTGAATTTTTTCAATGACAGCATCAGTACAGTTAGCTAAATTCTGGTACACAGTCACTTCAAGGTGTGCTCGGCCACTTTAGATTGTGAATAAAAGATGTTAGCTGAAGAAACCCAAGTGCTTCTGCATAGTGTACATTCCCATAAGGTGAAAGAAAGAGATGAAGAGGGATGGGTCTGATGTGTTACATGCTGGCAATAGAAACTCTGTTTGATTCAGAATTATTGGGAATCATTTAAGTTCTAGACACTAGTTCGGTGGTTAAAGCATAGAATATAAATGAAAAAGTAACCCCTACCCTCTGCTAACCTACTATATTGAAGGAGACACCTATGGAAACAGACAATGACTATGTAAGAACACACAGAAGAGGATGCAGAAACAGTTCAGAGCCTTCCCCTGCAGAGTCTGGATAAATATCCAAATATTGTGACTTCTGTCATCACTGTTCTGTCTGTTTTTGAACTTTGCACAAATGCAATCATATGTTACGTTCTCTTTGGTATCTTCTTCGGCTCAATATTATATTGGTAAGCTTTATTCACACTGTGGTGTAAAGTGACAGCTCATTCCTTTACATTGTCAGTATTGCATTGTATAATTAGATGGCAATTTAGTTACACACTTTAATGTGGAAGAAAACCTGAGCTGTTTCTAGTTTGGGGCCATTGTGAAGAGAGATGCTACTCTGTCTAATGACGCATGCGTGGGTGTATTTATGTGTGTGTGTATTACACACATATAAACAAGTCTATTTGTTTTTATTGGTTTATGTACCTAGTGAAATCGCTGGGTCATAAGACATGTCTACTCTCTGCTTTAGGAGATTTAGGCAAACTGATGTTCACAGGGACTGTGCCAACGTTCCCCAGCTGCAGCATGAAGTCAGCCATCCCTTACCCGCTTGCCCAAAGCCAGCTGCTCTTTCCTACTTTTGGTTATGTCTTGCATTACAGTAAGTCTAATATACATATGTGGGCTCTGGTCATGTAACCATGCCTTTGGGCCCAGATTTACGCACAGTTCTGCCCTGGGGAAAGTGACCCCTTCAGGCAGGAAATTTCGCAGTCCTAGTGGTCTGCACTATGGTTCAGGGAAGAACACACATGTTCTGAGTGAGCCTGTTCCTTTGGCTGCACAAACAACTTTTTCCATGGGGCGAGGCAGGACCAGGTCAGAGTGGACCCCTCTTGCTGTGTCTGAGCACAGCACTCTACTCACGCACAGTGCAGGAGAGTTCTGGTTGTTCTACTTCTTCACCAATTCTAGGAATTGTTAGTCATCTTTACTTTCACCCTTCCTCTGGGTATAGAGTGGTACTTTATTGTGTGATGAACAGATGATCAGTGAGGTAGGGCATATTTCCTCTACTGTTCTTTTTTATGTATTGCAACTTGGATATGCTCTGTTCTCAGTTTCTTTTTTATTTGTATATGTTCGTGCTCTGTAATGACTACCTTCGTCTTGAACACTGACACATATACGTATTGCATCTTGATCATTTCACATCCCTGCCCCACCATCTCCCACCATAGATATGCTGTCACGTGAGGTGTGTGTTTCCCACAATTTTCTATTACCTTATTGGTAACTAACATTATCTCCATTTTACACAAGGTGTGTAAAGCACAAAGAAGGACAATATTCTGTGCAAGGTATTATGACTAGAATATACAAACAGAACTGGGATTTGAAACAGATTCAGGATATTTGACTACACAATCCATTGTCCTAGTTCTTTCTGATGGTCAGACAAGAAACCTAAATTGGAATCTGACATTTTTATGCCTTGGTGATATACAGCTTGGGCTTCTCCTTGCAGCAGCAAAGTATTACACTTAAAATGCTTAACTGGAGACTATTTTAGGAAAGGTAGATTCATGATCGGGGCTATGTTGCACAGGCCAAAAACACAGGAAAGACAATGTTGACTTTGTGAGTAAAAATAACCACTGACTTGATTTATAACAACAGATTTTCACTGAGCATCTATTATGTGATGAGCATTATGCTAAATTTCTATACATTGTGTTCACTGCTCATTGTCGCTAGTTTATAGGTGAGGACACTGGTCTTTGATGTGAGGGTACACACCAGCAAGAGGTGGAACCAGTATCCAAAAGTAAGTTGACTCTGGATCCAGAGCCTGCCTTTCCCGTCTTTCCTTCCCTCCCCTCTTCCTTCCTTCCCTGCCTCCTTTTCCTCCTCTTTGTCTCTGTCTCTGTCTCCTCTCTTTCTCTCCCCTGCTACATTTTCCTTATAGGAAAGTAAGGAGGCCTGCGTTACTAATTCTGGCTGGCGTTCTACAAAGCAGAACTGGATGGAGAACCCGAGCAGCTCAGTCCTGTGGGATGTGAGGCATGCGGCTATTGAAACCTTAAGGGAGTATCCCAGGGAAAGCCAGGGAAAGAAATTATCATGCTGTCTAAATGAAGTACTTACTAAAAGCCAAGCAGATAAATAAAAGGAGTTAGACAATGGGAGAAATATCAAGGTCATCAGGAAAAATTTAGAAGAGCAGGTGGCCATGAGTCCAACAAAGATTTTTATGATGCTTAATGAAGGTGGTGGAATATTTTTAGAGGACTTCCAGATATCCTGTATCCGAGAAGGCACTTTTGGGGTGTGGAACCTGTTGGCAGTCAGCCTATTACGATCCTTGTGTTTTTGCTGGATCCTGCTTGCGGATAGACCACTGTGGGCTCCGCTCTGTATAGCGTGTTCCTGTTAGTTGGGGCTCTGTAGCACAGCCCTCTATATTAGGTCCTCCTGGCTACTAACAAGTCTCCACGGACACAGAGGCTTAAAATGACACACTCTTTCCTTGGGGTTCTGGAAGATTTTCAGATGCTGAAACCATGGTGTGGGAAGGGCCACACTTCTTCTCACAGCCACAGGACTCTAGGGAGGAGCCCTGTCCTCACCTTTTCCACCTGATACGGCCAAGTCTCATGACTCAGGGTCTTCACTTTACTGTGAGGGTGAAGAATCACTGGGCCAGAGCCAGAAAATCTCTCTAAAACTCTACACATTACCTTCTCCTTGGTGGCCAAATCTCAATCAATCTGTCTCTGTCTCATCTCTGTCTCTGTCTCTGCCTGTCTGTCTGTCTCTTCCTCTCCCTCTTTCTCTCCTTCTTTAAGGACACTTGTGATTGCATTTAGGGCCCTACTGGGTAACCCAGAATACAGTCTCCACTCAAAGACCCTCAATTTAATCACACCTACACAGAAGCTTTCTCCGTAGGAGGTAATATTCACAGGTTCTAGAACTGCATCTGAAGTATCATTGAGGGTCATGATCAGCCTTCTTCACCTCCACCCACCGCCATTTGGATTCATTTCTCAGTATGTGTGCGTCATGTTTTTCTCTGTGAAGGCTTGTTCTTGGAAATAAACTGCTTCATCACCTGATTTACTTTTGTTGAAAATCAGTCAAACCATTGTGAGAACTTCTATTCCGAAATTTCTCTCTTTATATTTCCTGTAAACAACTTGCTTTCTTAGGATTTGTTAAAAGAGAGTTCTAGGCAAGAACAAAGAATGGTTAGCCTTGTTTTACCTGAGATATAAATTCGTGAGATGATTCACAGTGTTTCTTACTGTGAAATCACCTTTCTCAGAAGCTTCCTTTTCTAGGTATCTGATACGCTTTCAAATTTTCTATTTAGAAAATCCCTGGTTACACCACTTCTGCTATGTACATCAAGCAAATCTCTGTCAGCAGTGACAGGAAGCTCACTTCCGTGTGAGGGCTGGCTGGCCTGGACACCTGTTGCACCAGTACTGAACATGAGACATCAGACACATGCTGCCCTTTCCCCAGGCTGCCAGGTGGAAGGCACAGCTGCTGCTCAGGCCCAAGATCTTCATAGATTTCTCCAGAGGCATAGGGCTCCCTCTCATCCTGCTTTTCATCTTCCACACCCTTCACACTGTGTAAGGCTTTAGCTCTAAGGCCCCAAGATAGCATTTTTATTCTATAGCCATTTGTTGTTATTTCATTCAACATACATTTGCTAAGTGTCCGCCATGTACCTGGTGTTTGGCTGGGTGCTAAGCTTTTAAGGATGCATCCTGCCCCCAGGATCTCAAGTTTAGTCAAGATATGATAATTCTGCCTACCAGTCCTTCTTAATGGCAAGTGACTGAAACCAAATTTACAGTGGTTAAACTTCAGTTATGTAATGGAAAAGTCCAAGGGTAGTACTGTGAATCAGACAAGGTGCAATCAGAGGAGAGTTCATTCAGTTAAGGATGTGCACATACCCACACTCACATGCACAATAAGGGACTTATTATAAGAATTTGACCTATGCAGTTATGAAAGATGGTTTGCCAGTCTCTTTAAAGCTGTTGCCTCAGTTTTTGATGTTGGAGACGGAAGGCATCAGAGCTAGCTGTCAGGTAGGGAAGCTGGGTGAAAGTGGGAAGAGTGAGAAAAAAATGGGCATTCATGCTCATGAGCTGAAACTTACAAGGAGGACCTGTCACCACCTCCTGACCACACTGTCTCCTTCCTGTAGAGTGGAAGCTGGTCCTTTTGCCGTGAAGCTAAACATGCCCTTACTCCAGCTGCTGGTGAAACAGTAAGGAAATCCCAGTGGAAGTAATATAAATGCTAACCTGGCTGCCCCACAAAGATAGGTCAGCAGACAACCAATCATGCTGTGGGACACTTCCACATGTAAAAATAATACTTCAGTCCTCATTTCCACCTTCTGAACTCAATGCAAATTTAGCTCAAAGTTAAAAAATTCTACTTTAACCGGAAATGTGTGGTGAAGGGGATTCTGGGAGATAGAATGTGGTGTAACCAAGTCAACATATTACAAAGCCTCTTCACACTGGGTTATGGAAGAGCTGCTGGAGGTGTTCACCATGTCCTCAGAGCTCTCACTGCTGTGTGTTTCTCTCTTTTGTCTTCTCTCTTGCAGAGCCTCTTCTTCCAGGTCTGCTTCATAAGCTCTTTGAGAGGG